ATATGGGCTACGACGTCCTGTTCAACAAAGGCTTTGCGATACTCGTCCTTGCCTGCCGCAAGTGCCCCGATCGCCTTGAGTGCGCTTTCACGCATTCTTACTTTGTGCGCCAGGAGCGGAGGTTGCCCTTCTGGCCCCAGAGCAAACGACGAATAGGTACTTTCCAACTCCATGCCCGTGTCCGCCTGGGGTGACCATAACTTAGCGTATGCTGACGGTGGAATCGGCTCATACGCATCTTTCAGAAGCTTGCTGAAGGACTTGACAGCGCCGCAATCATAGGTCGCTTTCTGGAGGTGTTCGCTGTCCGTGATCATGCGAGCCAGTATCGCCGGTGTTCGCTCCAGGATCGTCCATTTCATAGCTGTGTCCGCGTCAACCAAAGGAGACTTAACCACTGGTGGCGATGCCTGAAGTTGATCTAGCATGTCCATAAGCACAGGGACCACGAGGAGGCCAAGACTGGTTTCTCTTAGATGCTTGCTGCCAAAACCGGATCTGAAGAGCGTTGTCAGAAGGTTGGCGGCCATCAATCGTTCCACGTTCTGACGTGTCCTGACCAAGAGAATGAGCCATGGGATGAGTGGAGTCTCCTGGTCCTCCTCGGATTCGCCTTCGTTGCCGAAAAGCTCAAACCGTGAAGCCTCCCAAACTGACGCAGTTGAACTGTACTTGCTCGCCGCAGAGCGGGCGCGCTCTCGGGCATCTGAAACTCCCAGAGAGGGGAAATGTGACTGCTGAGAGCCATAGAGTCGCCCCTGGTGTATTGGGATAGCAGGGAGGAGATAATCCATAGCACTAAGACTTTGCTGGCGCGCATACCCGAGGCCGCTGATTTCGAGCGAGTTCCAAGGAGCTCGAATCTCCTTGGACGGGGTGAACTTCAGAGACGGGAAAATAGCCATAATGGCCGGAGAGCATAAAAGCATACAAGCCCTGAAACGCGAGTCCGAAATGATGGTAGCTAAAGCCTCCAAGATAGGTACCAAGTTGGAAGTCGAAGGCTCCGGTTCGGGGAAGAAATCAGACGTGTGATCCACTCGCCCAAATACTTCAGCGTATGGAATGACATGCCCTTGACCAACAGCGATACTCGCCAGTCTTGTTGCGAGTGAGTCGAGAACATCAGAATTCGCCAGGGCAAGCTGATGCCTTTCCTCTCGACAAAGCTTACTGATTATGTTCGCTACCAACGCGATTTGGGTCTGTTGTGCCGCGGTGTTAGACGCGCCTGACAATATCGCATTCAAAGACTCGATGTGTTCGGGCGCAAAGACGGCCTCGGCCAAGGCCTGTGTATCCACTGGTGAGTCGGGTGTTGCAAGTGCAGAAGACTCGACGATATTGAGCAGCGCGCGGAGGGCCGTGGTAACGAGCAAGGGAGCATTCGAAACCGGGCAGACGTTCGCTAGCAAAGCAGGTAGGGCACCGGCAGCCAGGATTGGCTCGACAAACGCAGTTCCTCCTGAAAACATTGAAGTCAGCATGCGATTAGAAGACGAACGTGCCAGAATGGAAACGCACCATTGGCGAAGCTTGCCAGAAGCTGAAGAGCCTGGAACCTTACGGTCTCCTCCTCACCTATCGATCGCGGGCTGCCATGGGGGGCACCGTCCTTGCCATTCACCTTGGCTGGTGACCGAGCAGCGTTGAGTATCTTGACGATGGGTTCCAGCACGCCGCGCCGAGCCCACTGCTCCTTCTTTTGCGCATGGCCAACAATGTCATTCTTGAGGGCCCGCAGCGCACTTGTCTGTTCGATATAGCTCCTCGCGCTGAGGATCTGGGAAAGAATCGGAGGACTCGAGGACCGGGCCATGATGGAAGTATTTGGTGATGATGTGGGGAAAGGACCTCGGCTCTCTGCTGTCAACTTCAACCAGCACGTCGTGTGCTTGCAAGGACGAAGTGGTGCGGCGGCGACGGAGCTTGCGTCAGAGGCCAAGGTCCATGCAAATGGTCGAGTGTCAAGCAGAAGCGGTTTGAGCTTCGCACAGCGTTGCCAAGCGTTTTCTCAGAGCGCCTAGAAATGCAATAATCGATGATTTTCTCGAACGGAGGGGGGGATGTCGTGGGAGAGTCGTTGACAGTGGTTACTCAAGATGCAGATGAGCCGGGAAGTCGCCCGCGAGACGGAGCACGATTAATCACGTCAAGATCGATAGGTATCGGTAGGCTGGGAGACTGACTGGTTACCAGTGCCAGTTGGCGGCACCGGGGATGGCCAAGGCACGTGCACTGCACATCGTAACCAACCGTTTTCAGAATCCTCACATGCTAGCTGAAGCTTGGGGCAGCGTGGCAGCGTTGGTCAACACCGGCCTATCGTCAATGCAACGATTCCTGCCACCACCTTTCGACTCATGCCGGATCGGTGCTAATGTAGCATAATCCTCAGAACGAACATGCTGGAGGCTGCAAGCTTATGGGGAGTTCATCTTGACTATATGCACCCTCCCGCAAGCTCCATTGAACCACGACTTTTATTATATGTTGTATGCAGTTCCCAATCTGTCTCACTCTTCCAGTGTCTATCCAGTGTTATGATTCACACAGAGGATGTTTCCGGAAGGAGACGAATTAAAGTTTACTGGCCCGTCCCCCCAGCTGTCCAGAGAGCGTAAGCCAATATGGAAGACCTGAACAGAGCGAGGGTCATCACGTGATGGATGTGTGTCTTGCCGTCCTCATTGGCGCAATCGGTTTAGCGCGTCCGACTTTTACGGCTGGTCCTGGCCGAGGAAATCGGAAGGTTGTGGGTTCGAGTCCCACATGAGGAGAACGTGTTTCTTTTTGCTTGTTTAATAGCTGTTTTCTTGAAAACTTTTGCTCATTCTTGCCTATTTTTGTTTCTCTCTTCTCTCAATATTGAATTAGCCTCACAATATCATCTCATTTAATGAGCAAAAATAGTATAGAGAGGTTATTGAAATTCTAGTAAACTGCGAGACTCGCAGATCAGATAAGAAAAGTGTGACGATTCGTTGTCAAGCCCTCAGCGGAAGCTTAGTCGCACAATACAACGGTCACCGCGATGCGTCTTCCTGGTGCAGAGAGTAGAAGCCGCCGACCACTGTAGTTTTCGTTTGTGAGTCGCGCTGGTAAGTGTGGTCCTTTACGAGGCGTTGTTCAACCCACGCGGAACGGAACGAGTTATTAACTTCCACACAGCGGAGTTGCTAATTTCTCTATATGTGTGAGACCATGAGAAGCAGCGCTGGAGCGGGGCATTCCACAGCATGTCGGACGTTGTGTGGCTAGTCTCATTGAAACAACCTGGCCTGGACGTTATCAGGGTTCCGTCATCGTGAGAAAAGAGAAACATCGAGCCTCTGTGTCACTGTACAGCGCGTGAGCAATATGCTACTGCGTACAAGCCGTTCACTTGAGCGGGCAGACGTGTTGGCCGCCGCTAAAGTAAGGTCAAGCAGATTGAGAGTAGGTAAAGGTAACTTGGTTCCCATCGTGTCACCCGAGGCGGCGCATCGCGGTATTCAGCCAAAAGCACCGTGATATCTGACGCAAGATAACTGACAACTGACGACTTCACAGTGACTTTGGGACCAGGGCCTCCGTGACAGCGGCAAGCAAAGCTGGGGCATCGGAGATCAGCAGCAGGGGTGTACATGATAAGGAGAGAGCGCGAAAAAATCGCAGCGGCAGCTGCCGGCACGTTGTGTCGGTGAGGGTTCCCATACGTGCAGTCGGGTCTATGGACCTTACCCCAGGGCAGATACGAAGAGGAAGAAGTTTAATCCAGAGAGATTCTCCTACGTGGAACCCTATGTCAATGCAGATGGACGTATAATGGAATACACAGTGTTGTTGTATTAGTACCTTATGGAGGGTAACTTGACTGGCATCTTGTTATTGGCATCTTGTTATTGTGCACAAGGTACAGAACACTAGGGAGGAAGGCGAGAAGAAAAGGGCAAAGAAGATTGAGCCTCCCAAACGGCGCGTCCGGCTCCAGACCAGGCATCGCAAGCAGCCAGAACCTTGTCAGCACCTGGCCGGGAGGCTGTAGAAGGGTTGCACCGCTGGCCTAAAAGCGACTTTAGCGGCGTCTCTCGGTGTCCAGAACCAGAAGGGCGGCCCACCATCAGGGCCTCAGTGCAAAAATGGTACAATCAGCGGCTCCCAAAAATTAGAGAAAAAATCCTCATGGGTGTCTTTTACCTCAATTGTCCCCTCCCCCTTCACCCCTCTTCCATGCTGCATGGCGCAGATAAGTACTGCGAAGTAGGTACTACCTTAGGTACCTACCCAAGGCAGCGAATACCACTGGCACTACTGGCACGTTTTGCGTGTCCAGGTGTCAAATCCCCCCCACCAAACCCACCACAGACAACTGGTCGGCACCAGAGGCGTCAATGGAAGTCTTGGCTCCGGTGCCGAGACCGCAGAAAATCAGATTCGCGCGTCCTCCTCCTCCTCCTCCTCCACACATGGCATGCCAATCCCACTGACTGACGGCGGCCAGTCCAGTTTCCCGATATTTGGGGCCTTGCCTCACTGTTCCGCTGGTACCTTGCCTGTTACTGCTGGTGCCGAATGCCGTCTACACTTAAGGGACCTTAGCTGCCTTTGACGGTCTGAACCATTCACGCGATTCAATCCAGTGCATCCGCGGAACCTGGATCTGGAACCCAAAGAACCACCAAACCACGTACCTTTGCAGGTCGACAAGCGGCGAATACCAAGCGTCGACCACTTACTAAACCATCCCAGTTCCATGTGGGCAAACGATGCCCCCCTCGTCCCGATTTTTCGACGTGTGGTAATCTGATCTTGGCTTTGACAATCTGCAAATCTGAGCCGACCCCAGCCAAACCTATCCAACCCAGCCCGTTAGACTATCAACCTAACCTTACCTACATTGCCTTCCTACCACTGCCGAACACACCTTCTCGGCCTGCCTCCTCAGTATCCATCGACTGGCGATTACGGCTGTCGACCCTCGCCCGCCCGCTTCTTCGACCCACGATGCGCCCGGGACCATGTTGACAACATCTCCCATCGTGGCCAGCTCCGCCAATGCGTCGCCCAGCAGCTTTCATTATGCCCCTACGCGCTCCTCCCCGCACTCGTCTCCTGCCCGGCTTTCGGCCCCTTTGCCGCGGCGGCACTCTGCATCCAGATCCTCCCCGTCCACCTCAATGACCTCACCCTCCCAACCACGCCCACGACAATATGTAGCTGTCGATGCCGGCACTCAATACTCTCCCATGGAGTCTCCGAATCACCAGCCCCAGGCACACCCGACAGAAGGTGTCGCCGATGCCCCGCGCACCTCAGTGCCCGCTACGCCTGCCGAACCCCCACCAGCGCCGCGTCCTCAACCGATAGACCCTTCCGCGCCTCTGCCGCGACCTCAACCTCAGCCGACAACGCAAACGCAGACTGTCGTGCCTCCTGCCGTACGGCAGTCATCAGTCACCATCGCCTCACCTGGCAAGCGACGGAACTCCCAAGACCCCGCCATCGCGCAAGCGAGCGCATCCGGCGCCGGCGAATCTTTGAGTGCGGCTAAGCGCCCCAAGCCAACAGCTGGGCCGGCCAAGGTACTGCCACAGCGGTACGAGCTGTGCGGTGTCGAGGATATGGTTGTTTTGATATCACACATGCTGTCTGAACTCATCGAGACCAATGACGCCCTGGCTCTTCGCTCTGGCAGCCTGACTCGGTTCCATTCGAGGTAAGCAAAAAAAAAAAAAAAAAAAAAAAAAAAAGGNAAAAAAAAAAAAAAAAAAAAAAAAAAAAAAAAAAGGCGCTTCGCACGCTTTTGATATCTCTGTATGCTTACTGATATGTTGCGCAGGACGACACCGAGCATTTCTGTCCTTGACTACCTGAACAGACTAGCCAAACACGCGACACTGACACCGCCGCTGCTGCTGTCCATGGTCTACTACATTGACCGACTATGTGCCTTATATCCAGAATTCACCATCAACACGCTCACTGTACATCGCTTCCTGATAACGGCGGCCACTGTCGCGGCCAAAGGCTTATCGGACTTGTTCTGGAACAACACTACATATGCGCGAGTGGGAGGCGTTAGGGTCGCCGAACTCAAGCTGCTGGAACTAGAGTTTCTGTACAGGGTAGACTGGAAGATCGTGCCAAACCCAGAAGTACTCGTCGCATACTATCGGGGCCTAGTTGAACGCTGCCCCGGCTATGCTCTGCAGGACGAGGATGCGGTCGTCGAGGATGAAGGCTCTGACGAGGTTGACGACGAGGAGGGGTCAACCGAAATTTCAGACGGCGGCGGTGACGACAGTGGGGACTCGCCCGATGATGAGAGTCCTGCGAAGTCGCCGCCGCCTGACGCAGCAGGTGCGGCATCATAAGCTGCTCACGGGATGTCGGGGGTTTTGATCTACAACATGAGGCGTGATTTTCTTTGATTGTTCCTTTAAAAAGGGGTGGGCATCGCTGCTGCCCTTAGAGGCATGGCAAAGTGGCGTTTGGACAGGCGGTATCATTTTAACGCTCAATGAGTGATAGCGGTAATGAAATACCACACTTTTCTGATTTCATATGAGAATGCTTGCGGCGTGTAGAATTCTTCAGGTTGTGCATGGGACTGCTTTCCCATGGTATTTCTTAAAATGTTCCCCGTGTCTTAGCCACAAATCCGATGCCGCCATCGGTTGTTCATCTAGGTGCTCATTTCTGTGCTGCGTTAAGCTGTAAATCTGCCGGACTAATCCCGCATCCGAGGCTGGGTCCCCCAGAACCTCCCCTCCCACAACCTCCGTCTCCTTCAATCGGCGTCATCACCCAGGCCACCGAATCCGACGACTGAACGGGTGCAGAGAAATTGGAAAACCATGCGCGCGACATCGTTCCTGTCGGCGCTCTTCGCAGCGACCCTCGCCGCCGCAGCTGAGGCGCGCCTCGCCAAGATCTACGTCGAGCCAGTCTCCCTCGCCGCGAGCAAGTCGCCCTCCTTCCTCGCCGAGGTCGAATACGACGCAAAGCAACCCGCCGAGGCGACCGTCTCGTCTTTCGAGTTTCCCGAGCTGCCCGAGGACGGCGCGAAGCTCGTGCGTGTAGGCGTCTACGATACCGCGACGAAGCAATGGACGTCCTCCGTGTCGGTGGCCTCGACGGAGAACTTTGCCAAGGGGTACCAGCCCAACATCCTCCTGAGCGTGGACGCTGACGGCAACGTGGTTGGAGCGGGCTTGAAGGGCGTTAGGATCGATGCGGGCGCGACGAGGGACTTCGGGCCGCAGGCTGTTGTTCGGGTTGCGGGACAGGGCAAGACACCGGAGCTGAATAAGCCGGTTGTGCTGAGTCCTGAGGGGAGGAAGGTCGTCCAAGAGGAGAAGACCCTCTTCCAAAAGTATACCATTCTTCACAATCGGGTGTTCTCGAGCTTGAGGCTAACGTCGGCACAGGTACTGGTGGTTGATTGCGATCGTTGTCCTCATGACGGTCACGGGCGGCGGAGATGGGAAATAGACGACGATATAGAAGATGGCAGCATTGATGAATACCCATTAATTGATGTTTTACTACTGCATTAGACCGCGAGGTCTGTTCACGCGAAGCTGTGCTTAGGTGGCCCGGCGGTGTTCTCACCCGATTCGAATCCGTAACTTCCCTTCTGTCACTGTAAAACTGGCTGACTTGACGCATCGGCGGGTGCAGAAGAAATCCTTCGTCCTGAGTCTAGCGGTGTACTCTTATTGGGAACCTTGACTCAAAGCCCAGGCTACAGAGACTTGCGTGCACTAAAGATGGGGATGTCTACAAGTCCAATTGCCAAGGGTTGGACAGGAAATAGAGCTTTAATCCTGTCTGATCCCGCACCTCATATCGATCGCTCAGCCTGGAGCCTTTAGTTGACAGCCTACCGCAAGCCTTCTATCGCCTTCCGTCTTCACCACAGCTCTGACAGGTACTGACACGGCACGTGTGGTGTGGCTTTTGTGGCGCTAATCCTGCCCGGGACTAGCGCCGTTGCTAAGAGACATGCAAACCACTGCTAAAAGCTGGGACCTGCTGGGGAAGGTACGATCGAATTGATAAAATCCGCCGCCTACCTTGCCTTGACCTACGCAGCTTCACCTCCACTTTCCATCTACACCCACGCTATCCCACCCGATTCTTTCCACAACCGCAACACTTACGATAGCTCAACGGCAATCGCCTTTTCGTCGCCTAAGCTTTAATTAACAATCTTCCCTCTCTGAACCTTTCAATCAAACACAATGGCCGCCGAGAACACCGTCACCGACCCTACCACCGAGCTCGAGAACAAGGGCAAGGGCAAGGCCGTCGCCAGCGAGGAGCCCGTCGAGCAGAGCGAGGCCATGGACGAGGATGATGACTCTAGCGAAGAGGAGGAGGCTAACGAGGTACTTACTTCCCAATTCTGCCCCTCGGTGTTTGCGCGCAAGCTAACGTTAAAAAAAACAGACCGCTGAGCCTGGTAAGAGGACTACACGTCGCCTACAGCGCAAGACTTTCTCCACGACCACGACTAACGATTGGATTAACAGTTGACGAGGACGATGGTATGGACGAGATCGACCTGAACAACATTGTTGAGGGTGGTCGCCGCACCCGTGGCCGTGTCATCGACTTCGCCAAGGCTGCCGAGGAGAACCCTGCCGACGACGAGGACGATGAGGAGGACGATGACTTCCAGGCGCCTGCCGACGATTCCAAGATGGAGGAGGACTAAGCGATTCCTCGCCACGCCTCGACTCGTCTTGCTTGCAGCCACCAACACACAAGGTGGCACGGTTACGGTTATGGAAACGAACAGCACATCAGAAAACGGAATGGGGGGTTATACAAAAGTTTTACGTGGGCTTAAGGGTTGCTCGCTTTTGATGACGGCGTGTCCGGTGATTGGACACATGCAGCAGGCAACGGTGGATGGATATTGCCCGTTTGGACGGCGTTTAGAGACGAGTTGGTCTGCTGTCTGGCCCGCCCGGGGACCTTAGGTGGGATGGAATGTCTCTTATCCTACCTACGCTGCTCTGCCCGTGGGCGTCAATACCCCGACCATGAGTGCTATGGAAACGAATACATGCAAAACGCTGAACGGCCCTGTGCGAAGTAGACGTGATCAGATCAACAGTGGCTAGTAGCTAATGCTGGTGCGAAGGAGGGCCAGCGTCATGCAGGTCCCGGCAGCCGTCCCTCGCAGCAGGTTTTCCATTAGCTGTTCGACGGGGATCTATCCACATGAAAACTGCCAGCTCGATCGCTGTGTCATGCATAAAGCGGCCTAAATCCGATCGAGGGACCAGCACTGCCTTGGCAAATGGCAAGTACGTAGTCGCGTAGCTTTCCTTTCTGTAAATAATTCTGCAAGGCACCGCATAGCAGACAGGACGAACCAATTCATCCTTCGCAGGTCGAGTTCGGCACAGCTGATGCGACCGAGCATTAAGACGCTTTTCTAAGCTCTAGGGTCGTTGGCAGGACCCGACGAAACGCGGTGCGGCCACTGACTGCGCTAGAACCACCTCAAAGTGCTGGACGAGTGCTGCTAGTAGGCAGCGGAGGAAAGCTGGCTTGTGTCAGACGGCATGCAATTTAGGGGACTTTACCACAGACGGCGAGGGGCACTGGTTCAAGGAACCCGCCCGCCGCTTGCACGTTCTGGCCCTTCCGCCATCGTTTTTTAGGTTATTGTCACTGCTTTCGATTGGACAACGGGACGACACGTACAATACAATCCTTGAAAGTTTGTTAGCGCGGTACTTGGGCGTTCGGTTCTGCGAAAGGGAGGCCAATTGTATTGCGTATAATAAGGAGTGAAGCCCTACGAGGTATCGAAGCCCCTACTTAGCGTTAATATAGCTGTATATAAAAAACAGGATCTAGCTACCTAAAAATAGCTCTACTAATATAGCTTAATATCTAATAAAGCCCCCCTATTGCTCTATAACCTTCTTTAGCTTACTAAGTATTAAGTATACTAACTTTAGTAGGTAATCTACTAGAATAGTAGCCTAAGCTGCTAGTATTACTTCCTATAATACTTTACTAGTTAGCCTTATAAGGTATTAGTAATTAATCTAGTGCTTTATCTATAACTAAATATATTTAATAAGGTTTAAGTCAGAAGATCAAGTAGGCTACTTAATAAAATAAGTAATACTAAAGTTCTCTTATATCTAAGCCTTTATAGTAGTAGCATTATAGCATAAGGTATTATCCTACTAAATAATAAATATATTAGTAAACTCCTAAAAAGACTTAAAGACTAGTAGTATATAGTAAATATATATAGCTAAAGTTATAATCCCCTACTTCTTATTCTAGATAATACCTAAGCCCTTATAGCTACCTATAAAGTAGTCCTAGAATATCTAGCTATAAGGCCTAGCCTATACCTTAGAGAAGGTATAATAATCCTCACTAAGTAGTAGAGTAATAAACTTCCTTATAGTAGCTATACTATTATACTAGGTCTTATCAGAGAAGATCTAATGCTCCTAGTTAGTAGGCATAAGGTAGCCCTAGCAAAAAGCAAATTCAAAGCATAATTAATAGTTTTTTTCAGGTAAAAAGATAGAGATAGGTTATAATACTTAATAAGCTCTAAGATTAATAAGGGCAAAGCATAAGGCAGAGGCTGAATAGGCTATAAAGGCTAGGATATATTTACTAAATTATAGCTAAGGTATAGTCCTATTATAAGGTAACTAAGCTAAGAACTCTCTTAGTAAATCCTTCTATAAGGTCCTAATAATAGCATAGTAGCCACAGTTAGTATACTAAGGCTTAATATTACGCTATAGAGCGTATTACACTTACTATATTATTAACCCTATAGTAGTAGCAATCTCTTAAATACTAAAGCTAGCAAAAAGGGAAAGAGAGTGAATAATAACATATTAATTATATATAATAAGAGGGCTATTAATAATAGAGAGTAGTAAGCTTAGCAATATAGCAATCTTATTAGTTAAAATAGTGCTAGCTAGGAGGGATAGTTAAGAAGGAGAGGTAGGGCATAAAATAGCCTTATTATTAGTTAGGTTATACTCTAAGATGCTAGTATTAGGGTATAAGTTAAAGAAGTTAGTTATCTCTATTTTAGTGCTAAAATCTTAGAAAAAAGATCGCTTAAATAAAGAGGGTATATATACTTAGCTGTTTAACTTAGGTAAGAAGGTGAAGGGCCTTAGTAGCTATAATAAGGCACTCAAAGGCCTCATTATTATTATTATCAATAATAATAGGTCGCTAATATATACTTATGCCTAAAGCCTTAAGTTTACCCTTAGTAATAAGAGATTAACAGGCTGAGGCTAGCGAGAGGCGCTTAGAGGGGCTAGAGGTACTAATCTCAACAGCATTATTATCACTCTTAATATCAACCTTAAAGCCTACAATATAGTTGTTAAGATTAGTATTAAGGTCTTTAAGAAGGGCAGAGTAAGCATTATTAATATTAATAGATAGGCTAGGCGTCAGTAAGGCTAGCTGAAGGCTAACTATATAGCATAGCACCTCCTAGGGTAATTTTCAGGCTATCTTAAGGAGTAAGATAAAGTCAAAGTAGGTAAGTAGGTAGAGTAGTTAGTAAGGGCAAAAAGTAGTAAAAAAAATAGTATTTTTAAGCGTTTAATACTATCTTAATAAAATAATAAAAAATTAGACTCTTTTAAAATAGAAAAAAAGGGAGGAGTGATTATAATGCTACTAGGCAGTTACTATAGTAAGCTAATAGAAAAATTTGCTATAGAAGGGTAGTTTTTTTAATGTAGAGATCGTAGAGATTATGAGGGTAGTAGTAATAGTAAGAGGAAAAAAGTGCCTATAGGAGGCTAGTAGAGGCAGGAGGGGCTAAAAAGACGCTAACCTAGCCTAATCAGGCCTAGTGGCAGCTAAGCGTCAAGGTAGAGGGTGTAACAAACTTTCAAGGATCATATTATACAAGAGCCTGGAAAGCACTTACCTTTTGCCTCCGAGAACAGGACCTCTTGGAGCAGGACAAATAGGTTCGCATCCAAATTGACCACCTTACACGCTTTCTCCTTTCTCCGTTCCCACGAGGGCCTCTTACAACTGAACATACTTGAGCTACGCATCTCCTTCGTCGATCTCGACTCCACGACCCGGGCCATCTCTCGTCATATTTCCCCTTTCCCACACATTAGCTTGCCTTTTTCAACAGGGGTGTTGACGGATCAAGAGGAAAGCCAAAGACGTCAGTGGACAGGACTGCCGCTACGGAAGCCTTGCCAAATAAAATTAAAGATCTCCCAGCCGTCATAAACATACCCCGGCACGCACCGAAGCGACGACCCAGGCTGACCGGGCCATTCTACCTAGCAACAACCAGCCTATTTTTCTTCGACGATTGGAAGACGGGGGGAAAGAACTTCTTGAATTTTTCCCCTTCCCTGACATAAGACACCCCTTTTGGCATTCCGCCTAGAGACAACCCGCGATCCGAACGACGGCGCCCGGATTTCCGTGTTGCGCGCGCGACACATAGGTTTCCAGTAGCTTAGGGGTCCTCTGGACACGCCGCGACAAGGCGACGGTTCAGACACCATGGCTTCAAGGTTAGTACCCAACGGCTGGTACATCTGCGCCCCTTGCTTCGTACCCTGGCATCACGAGCTTGCGCATACATCTCGAGGTCATCTCTTCTGCTTCGGAATCGTCCTGGCGGCTGTCATGTTTCGAGTCCGTCAGCCAGAGCGTTGCGGATGAGACATTGGCGCCTCCCCCCACCACGTCCTCTAGAACGCCAGACGAGCATGTCACGATGCGATTGCGAAGACCGCCATGGATCACCTACAGCACGAAAGAACATCAATCGAGCATCTGCTAATGTTCATGCGTGAATAACAGATTCGGCGCGTCCTCGCTCCACCAGCGCGACTCCCGCAGCGCCTTGTTCGAGGGATACACCGGCGACAACGCAAGGAGGCCAGTCAGCGCCTCGCCATCGCGCCTTGGCGGGTATGGCTATGGCTACGCCGGCGGCAGCGCCTCCCCCGCGCCCACGGGGAGCCACCTCGGCGTCGACAACGGCACCCGGGGGTTCCGCCCGGCGACGCCCAACTCGAGGTACGCTCGCTCCATCGCCAATTGCATGACGGCGGACGCTCCGGATGTGGGAACGACTTGCTGATGGGTGTTCATTAGGGGTCAATACAGCGATGCAGTACTCAACGAGCTCGAGAGTCAGAACGACGAGCAGGTGGAGGGGATCATGGGCAAGGTCAAGATGCTGAAGAGTGTACGTAACACCCTGGCGACAGCCTGCCACCGGCGCGTCGTGAATCACAGACCGCAAGACAGTGAACCGGCAGATGCGAGACCAGTCGCTGACGAGACACTTTAGATGACGGTAGCCATCGGCGACGAGATCCGCGAATCCTCTGCCCTTGCCGAGAAGATGAACGACACCTTCGACTCGACCCGGCTGCGCCTTCGTGGCACCATGAACCGCATGCTGGTCATGGCTCAGCGCACCGGCGTGGGCTGGAAGGTCTGGCTCGGCTTCTTCGCTGCTGTCTGCTTCCTCTTCATGTACGTGTGGCTGTTCTAAACTTCAAAGAGTTGGGAATACCACACCCCCCCCTTATGGGTCACGATGTCAGGGCTCGACAAAGGCCAATGAGTTGACCTAAAAAATGGCATGCTCGGAGACGAAGTTACGGCAAGCGGGAGGAGTCTGGCAAGAGAGACGATCAGACTACAATCCTGGTCCGCAAGAGCACAGGAAATGGCGTCTTTTGTCGCGAGGTTGTGCTTGATCTTGCATGGCCCAGGGTCGGCCGCGATTGATTGATCTTGCATCGCTCGGCGTTACTAGGAGTACTTCATTCATAGGCTGTCTTACATCTCAACCTGTTTGTATTCATCACAGGCACGCAAAGATTGGAAATTGCGAGCAAGAGCGATGCATTTGAATCACTGACGGTGAGAGACGCGACGAAGAGAAGAAGCCCCCCCCCCACAACGGCAGGCCTTTTGTGTCTTGCATGTGTCTACGTTTGAAAGGACGGAAAACGAAACGAAGGAGTCTGTTGCCTTTGGCCAGTATAATAAACACTTTTTGTAATAACGGGGTATACCGCCTAATGCTACCACCTTTTTCTTTTCCCCGCCCCTCGATGGAGTAGGTTCGTTTTGTTTTTCCGACTTTGTAACTGATACATTACTATGTCCCCTCCATCCCCGTGATAGGCTCGTGAAGAAAGAGGGGGATGTCTATAAGAGAATGTGCGCTTCTTGCCCCGTTCGCCTCGTCGTTCGCCGCCATCCGTGATGTGAAGTGCTTCGTTGTGCTTCACAGGGTATCTATCGTTCATGAATCTGTTCTATCCGTCCGCCTCCCCCAGCCTGCAATGTAGGAACGCATCTAACGCCTCTGGGCCCTCACGTTGGGACTGCTATGCAACATGCTGCTGTCCATCATGCTGCTGTCCGCAGACAGCAGCCCGCTCAGGTCCATGCTGCTCCTGGGCCCACGCTCCCTCGTCGGGCTCAGCGGCGCCCTCAATGGCGCGGCGACCCTCGGCGCGAAGCTGATGTCCCCGTCGTCTTCCTCCTCGTCGCTGCTGGCCCCGCCGCGTCCGTCGTCGCTGCTGCTGCTCAGGTTCACCTCGGAATCGGTCTGCTCGTACACGCCGCTGAGCTCGCCCGCCTCGGGGATGTCGTCGTCCAGGTCCGCGTCCATGTCCATGCCCATGCCCATGTTGTCCTCGTCGCCGGCCGCCAGGAGGTCTTCCTCGTCGAGCATGCGGCCCCCGCCCTCGGCCTCGAGCTCCTCCTCGCCGCCGTAGATGTCCTCGCCATCCGCGTCACCGCGGGCCATGGCTTGCCGGTACGCATCGTCCGCCATGCGCATGCGCGCCTCCACGAGGTCCTCCCGTCTTTCCTCCTCGTCTTCGTCCCCGCCGCCGGCGCCGGGGCCCTGCGTGGTATCGTCGTCATCATCCTCCTCAGACACCTCCTCAACGCTGCTTGTCATTCCGCTAAGACCATCCTCGTCAGAGTCCTCCCCGCCGTCGAAGCCGAAACTGCCGTCCGCGTCGGGGATCTCGTCATCCAAGTCGCGCGGCTCCTCGTCGCCGTCGGGGACGTCGGCGTCCAGGTCCGGACCGAGGTCATCCCCGCCGTCCTCAAGCACATCCTGCCCCGCGCCGCCGGCCTCGGCGAGCTCCTGCACGAGCGCCTCGCGGCGCATGGCCTCGGCATGCTCCTTCTGCTCCTTCTCCTCCTCGCGCATCTGGTGCAGCGTCTTGGGGATGCCGGGGGGTTTGAGCCAGCCGCTGCCAAAGTTGCGCACGTTCAGCCGGCGCCGGTCCATGTACTGCTCGTCGGCGCGTAGGCGCGCGAGGGCGGAGCGCTCGATGAGAAGCTGGCCCGCGCGGCGGGATGATGAGCCATGTTGTTGTGCTTGCTGCTGCTGCTGCTGCTGCTGCTGTTGTTGTTGGGTTTGCTCGCCCGACTGTTCGTGGGCTTCGAGGAGGGCGGCCTGGGCCAGAGGGTTGCGGGAGGAGGTGTACCAGATGGAATGCGACTGTTTTGGTTGTTCCCGCGTTAGAAGACGTCACGATGGCGGGGTACACTTTGGAAGCTTGGGAGAGGGAGAGCTTACATCTCGAGGTGTCAGGTCGGGTAGGAGGCCGAACATGATGGAGACTTTTCTGAACGGCGGGAGGGCGGTCGAAGTGTAGGTGGGTTGGATTCGCCAAGGTTCGTCAACGTCGTTGTGTGCGGGTATCACGCATGGCCAGGTGCTATTGAAAAACGAGTTCTCTTCCCTATTGCGTAGCTATACCTAGCTGCAGGCGCGCCAGAGTGGTTGCGAGAGTAAACATTTGACAGAGTACGTACTGGCAGCAGCGACGGGGGTTAGGGGACCTACCCCACACTCGCAGACGCGCCGCGCCTAGCGCGCTTGATCCCTGTCGCAAGAGTTCACGATGCTTCACTGTGGGCGGCAGAAAATGTGGTCACCTACGTATTCATTCAACGACATCCCGTCTCGTCACACGCGGTCTTCACGATATCTCAACGCGCACGACGAGGTGTGTGTGGCACAAGCCTGGGGAAACTCATGTGTCCCCGCCCCTCCCACGACAGCTGCCAGCAGACAACACAGTCGGACAAAAGGGTGCATCGGCCGTCGCCCACCGCCAAATTGCTCTCGTCTCAATTTCTGGCCGAGGCGTCGAGGCTGTCTGCTCTGCCCTGGCCTGAATGCCAGGTTTCACTGAGAGTGAGGTGTCCGTGGTTACCCACGGCGCCTACGTCTCCTTGGGTTCCAATATTTCTAGTTTTTGTGAGGTAACAAAAACAAGGGTCCGGCACCGCTGCCGCCTGGCTCCCGCCTCCCGCCACGGCCCACGAATGCTGCGTTTCTCTCGCATTCTCGACTCATCCGCAGCGGACGGGGAAATGAGGACCAAACCCTCCCTCGCACCCCGCGACGGACGCTCTGATGTGTCTCTTCGGGAAAAGTCGGAACCATCGCTGACATCGGAGCTATTGGCATTGGTTGTGTGTGCTCTGGTGGAGGTTTCAAATGCCATATTTCCGCAAAGTGGGATTTTTCCCCCCTTCCTTGCGCGGCCATGGGCTGACTCGAGTGGACACTTTTTTTTTCTGCCGCCTTTTTGCTCTCGCTCCGATGTCCCTGCATCACTGTGGCCGCTCCGATATAGGGCGGTCTGAGAAACCGCAGTCCAAGACCGCTCCGCCAGGGGTTGCATCCGCCCGGCCCTAGTTGGGAGGAACCACCGAGCCGACTTCGGCGGGGCTCTGCTAGCGCTATGGAAATGGCAGAGGCATGCTATGCAGGACATAGGTCCGCTTCCGTTGTCGTACTCCACAAAGCGGTGCGGAATTCGTTCAAAGAAAGCCGTTGCCAGAAAAGACGCAGCTATTTCTAATTGCAATTGATCAAGTTGCTGGCCTGACAGTAGCCGGTGACACAGTCTAGGCATGGGGCTAAATAGGCTCAGTCTGACCATCTTGTGTGCCAGCATTTAACGCTTTGTTGATTCGCCCGTGCTGTCATGCCCAAATAATTCGCCAGGGGCGCTGCAGACCAGCACCAGGACTTAGGCAGTGAATCCGAGCCTTTGTCATACCTCGAGGCCGGAGTTGGAGGGTGGCCTCGAGAGGGCATAGGTGATCAGCCGCTCCCAGTATATTGGGCACAGTTACATATGCGTCCATCCAGATCCAGGATGCTAACACGTGCTTGCTGTGAGGGATGATTTGGGAAACCCTAATTGTCTCTCCGAGTTCAAAATTCATCAGGGTCGGAAACTGCCTTTCCGGGTGCGCGTTCTGACAGGCATTCGGCTTATGCACCTCGACAGCATCTGTGACGTAGGAACTGCGCGGCGCCCAGGCGGTTCATCACCGAGGCGTGAGTCTCTCGTCTGGCAGCTGTGCTGTCCATGCCTGTGCCTCTCGTCTTCGGCAGGCTAAGCGTTTGATTCCCTGGGACGAGAAAGGCCCCTCTCCTCTCCTCTCCTCCCCTCCAGCTCCAATAGCCAAGAGCGAGAAACGTCTGTGCGTGGACGCCAGCAGGGGTCACACCAGCAGGGAGCTGTGAGATCTCGAACGCCTCCGGCCGGCGGGGTTGCATTTAGCATGGGTGAGACTAGGGGCTGCCTAGCTTCTCTGTAGCTCAGATGCAGATGCAACAAGTCGCCGTCGTGGTTGGGCCGAGATAAGACGGTTGAAGATGCGGCTACCATTGTGATTGGCCGACTTCTCCAATTTCACGTTGTCGATTTTTTGACAGCAACCCTTTTTACTCTGGGCGACAACATCTCTCAATGCTGCACTGCAGTCTGGTCACGCGCCAACTTCGTTTCCTTGCGCTGGATGTGCCGGACGACGGCGAGACTTGTTGCCTTATCCGTATGTTTGCGGCCAAGGAATACGTTCCATCCATCCATCTCATCTTACTACAGCAAGCCTTCCCTTCGTGCTGCCCGTGACGCATGTGCTCGGTGCTGCCCGCCATTGGCCAGCCTTCCCATTGAACCCGTATTGTTTGCATTTGTGGTGCATCTCGTCGGGAATCTCGCTCTTCTGGGCCACGCGCAACGCTGCTTGTCTGACGAGCAGCGCAGGCTTGTCTCTGTCAGAGACTTTGTCCGTACACTCCTGCCACTACCCATGATTGATTACGCCTCCGGCGCTTTCGAGAAATGTGAGAGGTTGCGCTGCTGACCGATCCCCTGGTCTCCCGTCGGCCTCTGCCGCCGCCCAGCCATCGACACCACCAACTTCCGTAGATCGGAGGGGGTGATGGGCAGAGGATAAACACCATCGATTCTAATTCGCGCTTGATCTTCGGAGTGAACTCGGTTCTTGTCGTTCCATGACGCAACAGACTGAGATTATCGGACGTTGCTTGGGGCCTTGAGCCTGCTGCCGCCACCACCGCCAAACGGCGTATGCACAACCGCGAGAGATGGATTGAAGGACCCTAGCACACACTAGACAAAGCCTTCGGCACCAACGCGCCCCCCAGCAGCAGTAGCATGTGCAAGCGCACTTGTAGCTGAACGATGT